GCCGACCACTCTCCAATGCCTTACAGACCACCCCTGATGCTATACTGGTCACTCCCTGATATCTTACTGACCACTCCAGACACCTGATCAACCACTCCCCAATGCCTTGCCGACCACTCTCCAATGCCTTACAGACCACCCCTGATGCTATNCAACCACTCCCCAATGCCTTGCCGACCACTCTCCAATGCCTTACAGACCACCCCTGATGCTATGCTGGCCACTCCCTGATGCCTTACAGACCACTCTCTGATGCTATACTGGTCACTCCCTGATGTCTTGCTGACCACTTCCCAACACCTGACAAACCACTCTCCGATGCCTGACTGACCATTCCCTGACATCTGACCAACCACTCCTGACCGAATACTCCTRAGGCCTCACCAACCAGGTACATATAAACAAYTTGATTTACTGTTAGGCTAGATTATACTTACTGGGTTAGAATAAACAGACCAGGCAAAAACGGCAGAACATGAGAGATACAAGGGTTGCAGGCATGAGATGTGCTGCCATCAGGCATCAACCCAATGGAGCATCTTTCACTGCTGCTGCTAGTCTGTATGAGGAGTAAGTAAGCCACTAAGACATTCATCATCAAACAAACTAATCTTATATCCAAGTTAATAACACTGTCAATATGGACAACTGAAGTATCAGAAAAATTGTCCCTACACATATTTCTCTGTGTGTGTTAAAAATCATTATATACTGTCATAATCTAGAATGTACATTAAAGTCAGTTCGAAAATAATGGAGTTACCAGCTTTACTAACCCAGTAGAGATTATGAGTGACCTCCCTCGGGAGATTTAATTTAAATAGTACCATCGTTCCCTTTAGTCTTGGACGAATTTTTTTGTGTGCTTTTTTTGGATATAGAGGAAGTGGAGGAAAGTATGAAGCACCAAGCAAGAAATGTGCTTGTTCAAATAATAATAATAACAATAATAATAATAATAAATAATCTTTGTCTTACTTGTGCTGTTTCTAGGAGCCTACACCTTCTGACGACAGCAAGGATTGTTGTRAAAGCCAACATTAGCTGGAATAAACAACCAAATATGATGCTTCAAGATACAAGTACGTTAACTATAAATATAAAACAAAACTCTGGAACACATAGTTGATGTACAACCCACCTTGAACCGCYGTTTGGAAATTTCTTCTAAAAATGTAAAAAGGGACAGCATTTCAATAATATTGAATAACATATTTTTGGGGGGAATGCACAGTTGCAAAATGCAGGATGGTGTCAAGGTGGCTGTTGCCTACTAGAAAACTTTATTTTAGAAAATATTATAGCTTCCTAATATGCTTCTAAGCCTGTGGCAGCCCATTTTTAAACACTGGTTAAGGTACAAAGTTAGGCTGCATACATGCTAACAAGTCCTTAGATTTTACGTAAACTTTATTAAAATTTTGAAGACTCCAAATGAGGGGAAGCTAAGGGGGTGGTAGTAGATTCAACACGATAATTATGCATAATAATGTTAAAGTAAGGCAGAAGAGTGTGTCGTTACAAGGGGAAGGTCTGAAGTAATCATGTATACACTCACACATTACACTATTCTATTATGAAGTGGCTATTAGTGTCATTACACAATGCTCACTCCCCTAAGTAGCGGCTGCGTAGTAGACTAACATAACAAACATATATTAGAATATGCTATTTACCTGATGTTTCATAGTTAGCAGGATCCAAGTTCATCCCAAGATAGGATATCAACCATTCGACTGAGATAATATTCCTGAGGAAACAATTAAAGCAAAATTTATTAGCTAAAAAAAKAATTATTTTGAAGCAATAGAAAATGTGYACAYATGCTCTGTGCATTTACAAAGCATACAGGAATAGCAGGTATTTATGAATGCATGCAAATGAGATGCGAATGAGACAAAAAGCATTGTATCARAGCGATAGCCTCACTTGTATGATCCTAAAACAAAAGAATATCTCATTGCAGGCTCAACAGTAATAACAGCTATTGGGAGAACATGAGAGAAGGGTTAGGAGAAGCATGAGCCATAGTAGAGTAAAGGATACTTACCTTTTATTAATTAGAAAATCTTCATGAGGGCTCAACAGACTCAAGATGAAACTAGTTCTTGTGGTACTTTCTACAAAGTTACTGGGATGAAAAGCAGAAAAATTAGATGACTTTATTCATTCATTCAACCATTTCAACAACAATTATCTAGATAAACAGGACATGAGGGTTATAACAGTGCTTTTCAACTGCACACACAGAATTATTTTCACGAAGAAGAACAGTAGGTTTTGGTAGATGCCTATGAGGCATTTCCATTCCATTTTATAGGCATGTGTCCTTGAAAACTTTGTGTTTTCAGACAAAGCCTTAGAAAAACTTTGATTGCAACAACCAAATCACTATTTTGTCACAATGGCAAATGATGGCATGATTCTTCAAGTGCTATTGAGTAACACTTTAATGGTGAAAATATATTCAGAATCACCTTGCGATGACTAAAGCTTCAGTTAGGGTAGTTCTATCTTGTATTGTGACAAGCTCTCCTTCAAATAAGGAACTGACGTATTGCTTCAGTTCATCAAACATGGGCTGCAAGACAAGAATATAAAAGATATTTAATCTTTAGTTTCCTTTTTTATCAAACAACTTGGATATGTCTCTTTATTTTATTCTCTTACTAAGAAATATTGCAAACTTTCTAATCTAAGCATAACAAATTTAGAGATGGTTTTAACAATAGATCTCTCGCATGTGACATCAAAGCAGCTTAATTTGGACAGCAAAATAAAAGAATTTTAGTCTTATGAGAATTGGAAACCTATYGTTATGTCCTCCAAATTGAGCTGCYGTGCCACAAGGGGGTTTATAATATTGAAGAACTTACAACAAGAAGGTTGCCATAGCTACGGCACATGGTAAGAAGTGCAGAACATGCTCTGCGGYGAGTGTGTAAGACGTCCAGAGTCCAGGGTCCCTATAATTTTATGAAATAATTATAACAAACTCATTACCTTTCAGTGATGCACATAAAATTTTAAGACAAGAGGAGACAAACCTTTGCTTCTCCGGTGGTGTTGTATGTTACAAGAGAAAAGATCTGTGAAAAAATATCAAATATAAAAAAATTCAACCAAATCTACCCTCAACCATCCATCCCATCCATTCTGTCCATCCCAGAATCTGTCCCATTCTATTTTATCCCATCCTCCTTCCCTCCTCTTTCCCCAAACCRTAACACTTTTCCAATCTTATCCTGTCTATTCCATTCCATTTYATCYCATTCCTTCTCATCTATCCTTAACCATCCCATCCATCCATTTGTTTAGTAGCTTTACCAAATGRCTTACCTTCTTCAGTACTTCCAGGATAAGATCTTTAGAGTATGTTAAGAAGTTCAACAATGACTGGATGGTGTCCACAACATTGGTTAAGATACTTGGATCCTGGGCGTGTAAGTACAATAGAATTACATATTAATTGATTATAGTACTAATACCATTACCAGCTTCAACATCTGGTCAGTTGCCAGTAAGCAGCAAAATAGACCTTGCCTTGGGCGTAATATTTACTCATTTCATACCACACGTCATTCTCTTGTGAAAGAGATTCTTTGTTTGAGTTGTATCCATATTCATGTGTCTTCTCATGCACAACAATCAGACAAAGAAATAATACTCTTGGGTCAAATGACTCTTGGTCAGAAATGGGAAAACTTTATGTCCAAGCTAAAAAGGCTATTGGTTTTAATTCTGTCATATCTCATTCCTAGCCCAAGTTTACTGGTCAAAATGACCATTAAGGCAAAGATTTGAAAGGCTTTTATTTTGAGCTCTCAACTTATTCTGCCACTACGTCATTATAWAATATTATTATGAACAACACCCAGTTGACTTACATTGCACACAGACACATCAACCAAGATTAATGATTTAATACAGTTTTTTGCCAATTCCAAAACTTTTATCGACACCCCTCTGAAGATGAACTCCTTCTTGAGCAATTCCTATGAAAGATTCAGTAAGATAAAACGATAAGAGAATTCATGGCTCACATCTAATCTATCTTCTTTACCTTTTAACAACAAAGTACTAGCACACGAAACATCATCAATTTAAGTATACTTTTTTCTTACATTGGTGTTCAGGCCCATAGCAAGACCTGGATATCTGGGGAGCCAAATCACACATAATGTGATTTTGCGATTCTGTGACTGATARCATAAATTTTTTGTTGGTCATAAAAAACCTGGGGGCAAGGGATAACCCCTCCAGCTTCTCTCTTTGCTGCATGCTTGATATTGAATATTCAAGTTATTGATATCCTTTATCATTCCCATTTTACAATCATAATGGCTGTATTTATTCTCACATTAACATTGTCCACCATGAACAGTTTAGACATCACAGCTGACATGTAACAACAGCAACCTTCCCATTGGACTCTTAGCTCATTTACTTGTACAGGATTTGCTGAAAGTGAAATGACATGGAATTACTAAATAATTGCAGGGCTAAAATTAATATTGCTGCCGTGGCCAAAGACCATGACCAGGCAAGACCAGGCACACTAATATGTGACTGGTCAATGTGACCAGTCAAGAGGACTAGCVAATGYTTGGCCAAACAAGTGCTAATTTCGGCCAGACATTGTCCGTTGACTGGCTGATATTTGGAGCCCTGAAATGCGTGTCATAATCAAAGTTATTTAATAATATCRCAATCCCACAGAAAATACACAGATAATCTGAAGTGTCCAAAGTCCAAAGGGAGAAGATAAAACAGTATAATACAAAGTTTCTATTTTTAAACAAACTTCTTCAAGTGTGAAGTTCCTAGAGGCACACGTCGAGGTATCAGGGCTGTACCCATATTTAAGGGTGAGGCATTACTTACCTGAAGAGAATCCAGCTTTGGTCTTATCAACATTATCTAGTAACCATTCAGCTGCTTTGAAGAATGTTTCAACAGGAAACTGAAGCGCTATTAACCTAATGATATCCATGGCTTGAGCCCTTACCTCTGAATGTACACACAATAAGATATTTAAGCAATGATATTTTTTAGGGAGGGGGTGGATTTTTTTAAAGGGGGGAGGGAAAGGTTGGGTAGTTTTTTTATTGAGAGTGCTGGGGAAAATAGTGTAATCTGGGATGGAGTAGGGGGAAGGGGAATAAATAGTTGTTTTTCTGGCCAATAAGAACAAGAAATTGAGTGAAAGACTATGATATGATACTCACGTGTAAATACAGATTGAAATTCCTTGGTGCTATTGAAGTCTTCCCTATTAAAGATACTATCAGAGGCATTGGGATCTTCCACCTGCAAAAATACATCAATCATTACTAAATACTCATATCTTACTGGCCACACCTTTACACTGTTCTAAACACACTGTCAGTACTAGAAATACCCTCTTACTGGCCACACCTTTACACTGTTCTAAACACACTGTAAGTACTAGAAATACCCTCT